TCTCAGGCAGGAAGCAGGGGAGGGGTAGGGAGCAGGATAGGGCATAATAAGTCTGCTAGCTGGGAGCTCACAGTGTCACATTAGGGTACCTGTTAGCGTCTGCGACTGGGAGCGAGTGGCTGGAAAGCAGCTGCTGGATTTCAACATTGCATTCTTCGTAGATGCATATGTGAAAATCTCATAATGAGACTATTATGTTAACAAAAATATGAAAAGGTTTCCCAATATCATACAGTTTAAATTAAAGGGGGGGGGAGCAGAAATAAAGAAATCCCTATCAGAAAAGCAGACCATACACTTCCCAGTTCCAGGTTAGGAATGATAGCACTGTTTTTCTCCTTATAATGAGAAATGCCTTTGGATTTTACTCAGTTGTGAACAACTTACATGCAGAGAAAAGACCAAAGTTTGTAAAAGACAAAAGCATTTCTGGATAAGGAAAAACAAAAATAATGTCTCTCCTGAGGGAGAAATCTTAGGTCCTGAAGGATTCTCACATGACCAAATGGTTCTCCACCGACCAAAATGAGCAGGAATAGCTCACTCTTTCTCTTAAATTTTCCGAAATAAGGGAAATAATGTTAGGGAAAGTAAATAGCCTCTTAAGTTTAACTGGTCAAGACTATAATGTTGCTAGTCTATGTTAGAACACACATCTTTCCAGGTTCACTGGTCAATCACCTGGTCATAGGACCATCCCTAAGAAGGCAGGTATGCTAAATAGAGGGGTGGAACACCTAGTATGTGGCTGCAGAGCAGCCAGAATGGAACTCTCACCATGGAGACATGTACATACTGGTCCATGTCCTCCCCCAGGGCTACCTCTATGGCAGCCACTGGACCATTCCTCCTCCTCCTCCTAGCCTTTACAGTGGGTCCATACTTCCTAAATTGTCTGAGTATATGAATAGGCATATAAATGCCATAAAATTTATGGTTTTGAAGAGCCAATATGAGCTGTTGAATCAGAGTGAGTTAGAGATTTGATTCATGTCCCAGAGCCAGTGGAGAATATCATAACCTGAGTTCTTCCATTTTTTATAAGACCACCATCTTGATGAGCTGTCTCACACTCTGCCCTGGCCTTGGCCAGCAGATCCAGGAAGAACTGACCACAGAGCTATTCCAGGAAGACCTACCCACAGAGAAACACACCCATAAAACTCCAGAACGTTCCAGTTGAAGGCTTATCTGGCTTTTGCAACTGCTTGCTGGTGCACCTTTCACTCTTGAGTAACTGCCTCTTTCTGAGTAAATGCCTGTTTTTGAGTAACTGCCTGTTTCTGAGTAAATGCCTGTTTTTGAGCAACTGCCTGTTTAATCAGGATGTGATTTTTACCTGTAAAAACCTTGCTCTCCCCTGAATCAAGGCCATACTCTCTAAATCTTGACCCAGAGAGTGCTGTCGCTGGCAGTCTAAATAAATTTGGCTAATTTGGAGCATCTGGAGTCCTAGTGGTCCTTCCTAGGGGTCTTGATGCTGAAACATTAATCAACTTCTCATTCTTATTTTTACTTTTTGTTGTTGTTTTGTCTCTAGTCTCTAGAAAAAGGGTTTCAGTAGGGACAGGCACTGGGCAAAAGCACACCTCACCTTCCCATCAACCTTGCCCCTCTTTTGGTCAATGGGGACACTGGAAGTGGGACTGCATTCAAGAGAGAAGCTCTTCCCCCTCAGTTCAGTCCTTTGCCCCCCAAAGAGGATGTTTTCCTTTAAATCTGCTGGAATGTGGAGGCTGAGGTCCCTCAGCTCCTTTCACAGAAGAACCCAAGATTACTGGGGCAGTGTCTAGCCATTCTGTTTATGGTTGGCATTGGAGCTAGTCCATCAATTCCTGTTACCTTGCATCCTAAATTAAACTTCCTGATTGGTTTTTACTGAAACAAAATCAGATATATTGTTTTCTAAAGACATTTCCAAGTGTCAGTTATGACTTCTGTTAACTCTGTTATTAACACTGTTATTCGGAATTCAGAAACTGTCAAATTGGTCTGAGCTACTAGATCTGTAGCCACAAACTGATACTGTGGGACCCCTGACCTAGCCAGTCAGGCATACCCCACTCCGTAGCCTCCCTTCCCCAGCTCCACTAGCAAGACCTCAGCCTTCTGCCAGAGGCACTGCCCTCACTCATTGTTCTGAGTATACCACCTACCTCTGCTCTTTACAACCTTCCATGATTCTAGAGGCCATCTAATTGTTCTTCTCAAAGATCTCTATTCTTGAACCACAGCCTCAAACTCTTCCAAAACTTCTAAGACAAGGGGCCGGAGAGAAGGCTCAGCAGTTAAGTTCTTGCAGAGGAACTGGGTTTGATTCCAAGCACCTACATGGAAGCTAAAAAACCATCTGTAACTCCAGCTCTAGGGGATCAGACATCTTCCGGCATTGCATGAGGTAGGTGCACTTACAACATGCAGGCAATACACTCATACACATAATTTTTTTTTTAAATACTAAGACAAATCTTGAATACAGAGGTATTTTTGCCTTGGGTGCAGTGAGGGTCATGTGGAGATGGTGTGCAGGGCACAAAAAGGGAAGTGGGCATTGCTCTGTCTACAGCTTTGCTCAGGGAGTGTGACCCACATGGGCAAGGCACAGGGGAACCAGGAGTCAGCAAAGCTTCAAACAACCACCATGTTTCAGATCAGAAAATTTACAGAAAACAAGGAACGTATGAGTTAAAGAACTGGTGGGTTCCTAATAAAAGTCAAGACAGCATAAGAACAAAGGCTAACAATATAATTGCAGCAGTCAGGTGAGAGACAATAGGAATTTAAAAATATTTGCAGGTAAATGGATGGAACTAGAATCTGTTATACTAAGTGAAGTAACACAATCTCAGAAAAAAAATCGACATATGTTCT